CATCAGGCCCTGGTGATTTGAAGACATCTAACTTTTCTAAGTAATTTTTAACTTATTCTATTTTTGTTTTAACTTCTAAACCTATCCTATTTCCACTACCACTCTCTATGTTAGGCATCCCATCACAACTTCCCCCCATGGGTGCAACAGTGATCTTAAGAATCCAATAATGTGACAAGCTGGCAGTGGGCACCATGTGTTCAGCCATCCCTCCCCCACCTGGCTCTGTCTTTGCCATTTTCAGATTTCCTGTTATTGTTTGTCCCTCTTCAGAGCCAACTGCTTCCAGGATTCTCCTGCTAGCTGTGTGGGGGTGTGGAGGGGAATGCTGAAGTCAGGGTATCCCCCTGGCCCTGTACGCCCATCTCTGCAGAGCAGTGACAGTAGAGGGAGACAGTCAGCAGAGCTGCTCCAATCTGAAGCATGTGACTCAGAGGATTGCAGAAGGGGTGTGGTGGGGGAAACAACAGAGCAGGACAGATTTTCCTTAGAGACGGAGTGTGGCTTCTCTCAGAAATTTAGCCAGCACACACACACCCAGTCTCTGCACCACACACTGTTACGTACACATTGAGCAATGGACCTACCCTGTCCTTGGTCTTCCTCTTGTCTCTAATATATTTGTAGAAATCGGGGAAGAGAGGAGAGTGATGACGTGGGAAAGGATATAGTGCAGCGGTGGGCAAACTTAGGCCCAGGGACTGGATCCAGCCTGCCAAGCATTTCTATCTGCCCTTCTCAGCTGATGAGCAGAGGTGCGAACTTAGAGCTGTGTGATGTACTGAGCCAGGTCTGGGCACAGCTGAGGGCATCTGCTCAGGGTGAATTGCTCAGAACTCGGGGCTGCTTACGGGAGACCTTACCAAACAGGCCACAAACAAGTCACAACAAGTGCTTCAGCTGGCTAGCCTGAAGCCTCACGAGCAAAACCCCTCTGACACTCCAGCTCTCTCTGTGCCCCAATCAGCCCCAGGCCTAACACACAGGTGAAGGGTTTTAGAATCCAATCTCACCTATCCTGAATGGGTTCTTCCGGTCCCAAGAAACCAGCCACAGGTCCCAATCAATTTACACTCTGGACCTTGCCCACAAGAGCACGCTGAGCCAATCATTTAGAATCTAAAGCTTTATTAATAAAAAGAAAAGCATGAGAGGAAGTTTAAGGAGAATGCATTACAAGCATCGAATCACCAAGTTCTCAACGCAGGCTCTTAGCAGCGATGTTATAACTGCTATCTTAAGTCTCTGGTGTACATCCTATGTGAGGATGGGTCCACGGTCCTTCCTGGCTTGTTGTTCCCTGCAAGGCTGCATCTGAGTTCAAGAGCTGAACTCAAGACAAAATGGAGTCTGCCACATGGTATTTTATATCCATCCCTGGTCTCTTTCAAGCTGGAGTGGGTCACATGGCCCAGGGACCTATTCTGGTGTCCCAAGTCAGAAACCATTATTCTAGCTGGTCTGCAGGCATCCAGATTCATTCCTCAGGTGTATCTTTGGCACCTAGAGATCTATTGTCCCTGGAGCCTCGCTAATTAGCATAGCCATTGAATGAACATTCCTGGTACATTGCTCTGCCTCAGACAGAGAATTTTCCAGCATCAACACAGAGTACATATTTTTAACTCTACATACAGATATTATACAAGTACATGAATAGCATATACAGAATCAGTAGAACATAAGCTTTCATGTGACACCTCACATGACCCCCTTTGTACAGACTTTTGGGGCAAACACCCCCTCTTCCCCCCATGGGTGCAACAGTGATCTTAAGAATCCAATAATGTGACAAGCTGGCAGTGGGCACCATGTGTTCAGCCATCCCTCCCCCACCTGGCTCTGTCTTTCAGCCAAGCTGCTTCCAGGATTCTCCTGCTAGCTGTGTGGGGGTGTGGAGGGGAATGCTGAAGTCAGGGTATCCCCCTGGCCCTGTACGCCCATCTCTGCAGAGCAGTGACAGTAGAGGGAGACAGTCAGCAGAGCTGCTCCAATCTGAAGCATGTGACTCAGAGGATTGCAGAAGGGGTGTGGTGGGGGAAACAACAGAGCAGGACAGATTTTCCTTAGAGACGGAGTGTGGCTTCTCTCAGAAATTTAGCCAGCACACACACACCCAGTCTCTGCACCACACACTGTTACGTACACATTGCCACACACACTCAATCTGTGTCACAAAGTCTGTTTCTCCCTGTGTATCCCCATCCTTCTGGGGGGGAGGGGAAGGCAGAGCTGGCCATGTATTACTTTCCTTTCATGTTTGCAGATGGACAGAGCATCATGTTGTTCCTATCTGCTTACATCAGGTCAAAATAAAAAGTGCATTTTTGTCTTGTGCTGTTGAGAATGGGGATTCAGCATTCAGGGATTGGGCAGCAAGTTCCATCTCTTTCATCATCTCCTAGCAGCCGGTCACAGAGCTGCATAGCAGTTCCAGATCAGGCTTTATTAACCTCCTGATGTAGTTGTCCATTCAGGAGAAATTCAAATGCCTCCTAGCTGATCAACCGAGTCTACAGCTAGGTTTGTTTCTATTCATGGTGCAATTCACCATGAATTTATGTGCCTTTGTGCACATAAAATATTTATTCTGCACAAGGATGGAAAAATGCACATATGAATGGGAAAGATTAGAGGGAATATTAGATATAGATGCTTAATTTTGTAGCTAGGAGGAGGACTATACCTTTGGACAAAGAAAATTTTAGAATCTAAAGCTTTATTAATAAAAAGAAAAGCATGAGAGGAAGTTTAAGGAGAATGCATTACAAAAAATATTTATTCTGCACAAGGATGGAAAAATGCACATATGAATGGGAAAGATTAGAGGGAATATTAGATATAGATGCTTAATTTTGTAGCTAGGAGGAGGACTATACCTTTGGACAAAGAAAATGGTTTGCATAGGGAGCTGGTTTTTAAACCAGCGCCCTCCTGCTACCTCTGATAGAAAGGCAGCAGTGTGGGATGGCAGGAGGGTACCTGGAAGCAGGAGCTGGGAGAGCACTGGCTGCTGGCCCCGCCTCTGGGGATTAGTGAATTTGATGCGGTTACACAACTACTGAATTACATGCAAACATTCCTACTCCCTACCTGCTTATGTTTTGCAAAACTACTGGGTATGCAGCCTCTAAGAAGTCTTTCTCACTGCTATCACTGTGCTAACAGTAGAGATGCCAGAAGGAAAGGTGGAACTATTACTCAGTATTGTATATGCTGCCAAATGACTGCTTAGGGATGGGCCATGAGCTGTTCAATATCTTCATCAATGATTTAGGTAATAGTGTAGAGTATATTTATAAAGTGGTTCATAACAGGCTGGGAGGGGGTATATGTGCTTTGGAGGAAAGGATTAAAATTCAAAGGGCTAAGGGAAATGGCCTGAAGTAAATAGGATAAAATTCAATAAGGACTAATGCAAAGTACTCCAATTACGAAGGAACAATCAGCTGTATGCATACAAAATGGGAAATGACTGTCAAGGAAGGAGTACTGTGGAAAGGGATTTGGGGTTCATAGTAGATCACAAGATTAATATGAGTCAATAGTGTAAAGTGTTGCACAAAAAAAAAAAAAGCAAGCAAGATATTAAAAGTAATTCTTCCACTCAGTTATGGGTGGCATATTTCAGGGAAGATGTGGACAAACCGGAGAAGGTCTAGAGAAGAGCAACAAAAATTAATAAAGTTCTAGAAAATATGACCAATGCAGGAGATAAAGGAACTGGGTTTGTTTAGTCTGGAAAAGAGAGGACTAAGAGAGGACATAACGGTTTTCAAGTACGTAAACAAATTGTTACAAGGATGAGGGAGAAAAAATATTGTTCTTAATTTCTAAGGATAGAACAAGAAGCAATGGGTTTAAATTGCAGCAAGGGAGATTTAGGTTGGACATTAGGAAAAATCTTCCACAGGATGGTTAAGTGCTGCAATAAATTGCACAGGGAGGTTGTAGAATTTCCATAATTCTCTAACCTGCTCTTAGAAATCTCTAAACTCCTGTGAAGGATGGTCTAGATCAAAGGTGGGCAATATTTTTTGATGAGGGGCATTCCAAGATTTTGGTAAATGGTCAAGGACCATACTTTTCTTTGGAGGGTATGTGGGGTCTGGGATGGAGTTTGGGTGCAGAAGGAAGGTTGGGGTAAGGGACTGTGGTGCAGGAGAGAATTTGGGGTCTGAGGGAGTTTGGGTAAAGGAGGGTGTTGTGATCTGGTGCAGGAGGGGATGGGTTGCCACAGGTGGCTCACATCCAGCAGACCAGCAGTACCCTCAGGCAGTGGCTCGTTGCTCCATGCGCTTGTGGGGGCAGAAGGGGAAAGACTTTGCATACTGCCCTCGCTCACGGCACGATTATAGCAGCTCCCATTGGCTGCAGAGAGGCCCATGGAGGGAGCAGACAGCCACTTTGTGTGGTCTGGGGCTGTAGCAAGCAGGGAGACTGCCTGAGGGTCCCAGCAGGGGAAGCTGCGGCCTGAATCAGCCTGCAGGCCATATCTTGCTTGTCTCAATTTAGATAATATTTTGTCCTGCCATGAATGCAGGGGACTGGACTAGATGATCTTTTGAGGTCCCTTCCTGTCCTATGATTCTCTGATCTGTCCCTTAGGATTTTTTATTTCATGATTTTTTTTATCATGTTCCCAGTGAGTCATCAAATGCCATTCCAAAGGAAAATGAGGACTAAAGTTTTTAAAAAATATACATTGGGACAAAATCTGGTATAAAGCTAGAATAACTAATAACTTAATTGAGCTTTGGACTTAAGCTAATGTAACACAACACAATGTAGTCCATTATTTTCAACTAGATAATATGGATTATATAAGGAGATTAAATATTTCATTTTTGGTATGCTCCTTTGCATCTTGCAGTTAGAAAGCAGTGCAATATACAGTTGACTTCTACTCCTGACAGACACACTTCATTCAGAAGATGATTTTTGTAATTTATTTCTCTTCTTTTAACTGTTGCATAATGTCTGTGCCTTTTTTCCTTTAGACCATTCCACATAGAGCCTTCAAATATTGTTAGCGTGAATGATGACACACACAGAATTACAGATGAAGCCTCGGCAATGAATAAACGGATTCATTACTATAGCAAGCTCATGGCTCCTTCAGATCGGGCACTGGTAAGGGAAAGATGGGTTAAAGATGCTGTTAATTAATAGGCATGACATACAGAGTGCAGTGGGTATTGTAAGTGCCTGATTTCTGCAATACACAGCTGAAAAATAAAAAGGAAAAATCCCAGTTAAAACAAACCTTGAGGATTGCTTGCTAATGAGAACTTGCTGACTGAACATGCTTGAATTTACATAGAACCACAAGTCACAACTGCATTCTTAGGTGATGGAAAAATATGACCAAAATATGCAGACAATCCTGAATCTTACAATATTGACCCAGTCTTAACACTTTGTCACCAGAACCTTCATAAATATGTATTTAAGTTATCAACATAGAAATGTAGGCATTTAAACTTAGGTAATACAGCCTGACAACTTATGTCATTTTCTGTGTATAGCCTGACACTGAGAAAATACTTTCATAAAGTAGTTGGTGAATTGTGATGTGTATGGTAGCAAATGCGGTATTCTTCTACTGAAGAGTAAATCAGGCCTCAGGTTTTCTATAAAAATAGAACAGATTTGCTTGAAAATGTACTTTTTAATGAGAGTTTCATGTTTTTGTTTATAGTAAGTTGTTGATTTACTATAGTTGGAGCATTGGAGAGCTTTTGCTGTTACTAATACATTTTGTTTATCCATCTATTAGGTTGCTCCAGATCATGTACTTCCAGCTCCAGAAGAAATCTATGTCTATAGTCCATTAGGAACTGCTTTCAAAATTGATGGTTGCACTGATGGTTATGGTAAAAATTCCAGCATAGTTACAATGTATGTTAAATACTTCTTTTTAGAGTAGCCCAAAATTGCATTGTCTGTTGTAAATTTAGTAACTTCTGTGTTGTTTCTAAAAAGGTTAAAAGGTTACATGAAATAACAGTGCTCCTTAATTTTCTGTGTTTTTCAGATTTATGATCTGGAATACAATGATGGGCACATCTATACTAAGTATGCCATGGGGAATAAAACAGGTAAGATCAATGTGTATTAGAAAAAAAATATTTGTATGGAAAATATTTTCAGTGTTCCGTTCATGTCAACAATAAATATTGTTAATAAACAAGTGTATTTCTTCTCTTTAAACAGGCAGGATTCACCACTGGAATCTTTTTGATCTTGCTAATGGGCAGCTTGACACTTTATTGCTGTTACAGAGTTGTGAAATCACGAACAATGATACGTAAGAATTTGTTACGCAAAGGGTTCTTGTGTAAAGTGTGAGATCTTGAGAACCTGAATGATGATTTTGTATTTTATTTTTATTGTTACTGGGTTTTGGGTGGGTGGGTGTGTGTGTGTGTGTGTGTGTGTGTGTGTGTGTGTGTGTGTTTCTTTCTGCCAGTGTTTGCATGTCTTCAATTTAGTGTTCATTAGGCATGGAATCCAAAAAAAATCATTTGGATGCCCCTGACTTTTGGGGAAGTTTGGATTCCAAGCTGAGATGTGATTTGGGGCCCATCTCCATCTGTCATATTACTGCTTTACTTGTAAGGACCTGTGTCTTTTTAAGCAAATTTAGCCACATCTGAATTCCTACCATATTGTGTTTTATTGTCCACCAATATGTTTGGAGAGCACATCAAGTATGTGTAAAAGAGAGAAATCATCATGACACCTTCTGGTACCTAAATAAAACTATGTAATCTACAATACTAGAGTATGTGTTATCTCTAAAGTACATCTGTATATTGCATATGCTGAATTATATTGTCAAATGGAATTTGTCAGTAACCAAATGGCTATTGACAACACTCTCATTTTTCATTTATTTTAAATATATATATTTTCAGAACCACCTTCTTTATAAATACACATATTCTAGTTCATGCAGTCTGGTTTTGTGGATTAGCTGATTTCTGACTTCCTAAAATACATAATTAAGGGCTAGATCTGAAGTCATATTCCACACTTATTGGGGAAGTAGCCAGCAGCAGGCTGGAGTCTCACTGACTTAGCCATCCTTCCATCTGGAGGCAGTGCAGTGCAGACTCTATGCCCCATTCCAGTGCCCTGAAGGCACTCAAAGCAGGATGATGGCCACAGTAAAAGGTTACAGCTCTTCTTCAGCAAATTCCTTGCTGAATGTTTTCCCCTAACATGTGTTGTACTTTAAGCTTATCTAACAGTAGAAGGAGACTTTTTACTTAGAGTTCTATATAAACAGCACAATCTCTCAAAGTATTCTGATGTTTAATCATCTTTTTATTTTTATACATATTTTTGTCTTTATTCAGCTTTAGAGGATACCTCAAACTGGGAATTCCCAGATGTTTGCAAGTACTATTTTGGATCCTTTGGTCAATGGTCCAGTCTTTTATTTTCAATGGTGTCTCTAGTGGGAGCCATGGTTATTTACTGGGTGCTTATGTCCAACTTCCTGTTCAATACAGGAAAATTTATATACAGTAAGTATTGGTGTTTTAAGTCTCTCAGCTTGGTTTGAATCAAAATTCTAGGAACTGAAATGCAGAATGAATTGTCCAAAGTCTGCTTCTCAGTCTGTGCTTGCAACTTTGTTTGTCACTTGTGTAACCAAAGAATATTTGCATACACAAATTGAGTAGTCAGGCTTTTGTGCTATTCTTTTATATGCCCACATGTTCTGAGGTGTTGTTTTTTTGATTGTTTGTTTTTTTAAAATTGCAAATGCTTCTGCAGGTAAAGGTGTAGATGCAACAGTTTTTTTGTTTTTGTTTTTTTGTTTTTAAATTTGGCTCGTGTGATTTAAACTAGTCACTGTTTAGTAAAGGCAACTGTTGATGGCTATATCCCAGACTCTTTGCACAGCCCCATACAAATTTTTCACCATTGCTAGAACAATAGTAGTGATCCTTATACTTAGCCAAGACTGTTTTTAGCAAAGGTGAACTTGGGTTTCTACCTTCACAGAAGAACATAGTTACTAATCAATAAGATATTACAATTTGTGAATATTAAATAAAAATTAATCATTAACATCAAATTTCATACTGCTTGAAAAGTTCCTACTTCAGGACTAATAGTCAGGCTCAGGCTGTCAGCTTCCTGGGGTAGCAGCAATAGCATAGATGTGCTAACAGCGGCTGAATCTGGACGCCAGTTCTGACTTACATACGGATTCAACTTAAGAAACCCAGGCGTCCCCAAGTCAGCTGCTGCTGAAACTGATCAGCGGCTGATTGCAGGAACCCCAGGGCAGAGCAACTCTGCCTCGGGCTTCCTGTAGTCAGCCCCTGGTCAGTTTCAGCAG